CAAAGTGCATTTTTGATATGCGAGCACTGCAGGGAGTGCCACGGCAACCCCCTGGAAATAATCTTCAAAAGGAAAACGCATGCCCAAAATCAACCACCGTATCTAAAAACCTTTCAGTTATGATGGAAATGGTGTGACATTCTCATTTTCCCCTCCTCCTTCTTTCAAAGTCAATAAATAAAACATTTGCCAAAGTTGCATAATTGAAAAAGAGAGCAAAGTCTTGGGAATCTCAGAGTGCGTAACGCCTGGGTCCGTCCTGCTACTTATCAGAAGTCCTGGCTGCAACCCTTGGAAAATCATATTTGTTTGAGCAACCCCCGCACGGGATATATCTCACATATGTGTGTTAGACTCGTCAAACAAAAATATAAAACACAAAATGTTGTCAGCTGCATTTTGCTCTGGGTGTGAAGAAAATGTCTATTTTGTGTTTGGTTACGCTATAAATATGGTCATTAGAGAGGCAGAATGTGTCCTAGGACATACATCTGAAAGATGAAAGTAAACTTTATGAAGTGAAGTTTATTATTGGCGATGGCTAAAAAGATTTTATGATGTCAACTCTATTAATATTCATGTGCTAGTAAATTAATGACATAATCAAAAGATAAGTTTGCTTTCAAGATATACCCTCTGAAATCTCCTTCTATAGTCATTCCGACAACATTTTCCTTTAAGAAACTGATTCCCTTAACTTACTGCCATCGGAAAAACCATACTTATGTAGGCTACGGACTGAGTTGGACGCCGTGGCACAAAGAAGTGGAAGTTGCCACTTGAGTTGGCCAAGTGTGGAAGCTGCCGAAGAGGGTCTCTCCACAGAGCTGCTGCTTACACCCCCGTCCTGCGGGACTCCCATACTTCCTTTTTTTGCCCACTTTATGCTTTTATTTCCACTGTTTGCTCGGCCACTCTCCATTTGCGGCTTGTTTACAGGGCTTAAGCCAACCTGCTGCATATTTAAAGATGTCAACCAGGCAACAAAAGGTGGCAAGTCCAACGATGACGACGACAGCCATTAGCAGGCTAAAGAAACATCTTTGAGTTAGCCGATCTGGAATGGGGTAGATGGATCTTGGCAGACGCTATTAATTGTTTCTTGTGGCAGCACAGCTGCTGCAGCTGAGAAAATGCGTCTCTGTAGTCATACAAACACAAAACACGGACAAGTTTCACTCCGTCTAATAACTGAAAATCGTGACTTTATGTCTGCACTTGAAAATGAAAGAGCACGGAGTGTGGTTGTAGTTCTGGTGGGCCAGAAACCCAGGAGTATCCCAAAGGGGCTGGGGCACTATGTAGATGATGGTACACGACTCTTAAGAATGAACACGTTCTCTTGGGGTATCGCATTACCAGCATTTCTAAAGGGCGGAGACATTGTGACATGGCTTTTAGTTAAGAACAAAGCCGGTGTTGATTATGAGCCAAATGAAAAAGAGTGAGAGATATCCCCAAAGACTTTCATCAGCAGAAGATATACGTTTTCAAGCGAAAAACTACGCGGAGTTGTTGCAAGACTTTCTGACAACATGATAACTTTATAAGGAGTTACACTGGATACGAGTTTGTAAACAAAGCAATACCCTTACAAGATTTCTTTTCTGGAAAATGCACTCCACCTCTCGCGATTTGTTTGTGATTTCATTAGAAGCTGAGCCAAATAAACACAACGAATCGATTTCCATTTCGAGGTTCCCGCAAGGCGTAAACATTCCCCATCGACTCTGCCCGTGAATAGGTCTTTAATGCGATTCTGTTAGCTGGCCACTCCTTGGCCCTATCAATGGCATATAATTATGCTTATTACCAGCCATTCAACACCTACTCAAAAGTGCCCATAAAAGAGGCAAACTGTAAGATACAAAACGTACAAAATAAAGCACTCCAAAGACGAAGTAACTTATTCTCGAGTGGCCCAAGTTGTGGTCTTCTGGCTTCTTGGCCAGACCAACTCGCATAAATTGCAAACAGGCCTTGGCTGTTGATTTTGGCTGACAGGAAGGCATGGCGATGTATCGGATGGATGCGGTTTTGTTTTGGATAGCGGTTCTTTGGTTCTCTGGTTCTCTGGCGGTTTGTTGCAGTAGCCAACCGAATTGCTATAACAAATTTATGAAAACTCTCTGCACTTAACGGCAAAACCGCCGCAACAACTGGCTACTCGGATGGTTCAAGAGGTTTTTGGGTTACGATTGATGTGAAAATTGGCTGAAACGATCTAACGTGACGAGTCTTTAGAGGTGCAGTCACTTGAAGGAGAAAATCATGTAGCTCCCCCTCCATCCTCCCCCTTATTGTTAAATAACTCAAATGCCAAAGGGCCAAGCCGGATTTCGAGTTCTAACCATAACGGGCAGCCGCCATGCATTGCCATCATGTGTGCGTTGCAATAATAAAAGCGAAAGATGCTGCATAAAAGGCAACTGGCAGATTCCCAAAATGGTCACAGCAGGCAAAGCCAGCGGAGACTTCTTGCCTCACTCTCGTCTTAATTGCACTGTAAATAAAATTTATATAAATAATATTGAAAATTCTAACAGCAGATAAGGAGTACATGTCTTGAGGAAAGTCTTAGGTAAAGCTACTCTACAATTCTAGTAACATTTCTAAACTCCCTTTTTCCGCCAGTGTAATGCCTGGCTCCCCAATGGCAGTCAGGCTTCCAGAAGCTGTTGCCATGACAAATGCAACTCAAGTGATACATTGTACACAAAGCAGCAGCGAAATGCAATGCAAACTAATGGGCAGCCAGGACGAGAAGTTTTTAGTCGGGGTGTTGCAAGAGGGGCAGGACTCCATACATATATAAATACAGATGCCATCAACATTTCCCCCGCCATACGGAAATGTTTAGTGACTGGTCCAAAACTGCGTGGGCCTGGCATAGAGGAGAGGAGGAGATGTTAAAACACAGGTGAATGCCACCAAGAGGCAGTGAATCAGAGGAATATCAGCCATCCACAGTGGCATAGCTACTATTATGAGCAGCACACACTCATTCTGTCTGCCAGCAAAGGTCAAAGACATTTGGCAGCTGTTCCTCGTTCTGTTCGGTTTGGTTCTGCATCTGTGCAAATCTCCGCATCTCCAGGAACAAATCAAAAATGCGTACTAAAGACGTAAATTCAATTTGCACAAAAGGCGGGAAAGAGGGGAAAAATACGGCAAATAAAGAGATGTCGAGGCGCCCGGCGCATCACTTTTGACATGCGACACCTGAAAGAGGAGATTGCAGCCAAAAGATACGAAATGCATTTCCCACTCATAACAAGGTGAACAGTAGTTCTTGGTGGCTGTTGGTGAAGAGAAGGAGTCTTATTAAGGTATTCGAGTGGGTTGGGGAATGTCAGACATATACAAATCCATCATTAGTGAACTTGCAAAGGGATAGGATATATAGAAAAGATTTGTAATGATCGTTTAAATGGTTTCAAGATGGTCATTGTTATTTATTTTTTATGTGAGTGTGGCATAAATATGGGTTCTTGATACTTTTTCATAAATATATAAAGTTATTTATGTGAAAAACAGACTTGCAATATTTACCAATACACCATTTCAGTATGTCTGAGCTTCTACAAGATACAAAGGTATTCCTTTTAAAATGCATATTTCACAATCCTCCTCTTCCACTCCAACATTTCAAAGCTTAATGCCTGGAAAGAAGCCCCTCATATGGGAAAAAATCGACATTTGCTCAAAAAATCCACGCCGACAAAGGCGTACCAAACTCCGTAGACGTCTTGAGGAACAATATAAAATGCAAATAAAATAATATGAAAGTAATTTTGTAAGATTTTGCCAAGTTTCGTTTGCCGTTTGTCTGCGCAATGGCAAGTGAAAATGTCTTGACGATGGAAAGATCCTTTTTGGTGTCTGGCGTGCGTATTTAATTTGCTGTTGGAAGCAGCTACGGCCACGGCAACTTCATTTGTCTGTCAGCTTTGTTTTTATTGTCTGCTTTTTATTCATTTAATACAATTGTTACCCGCTCTCTGGCTGACTTATTAATGGCCAACAACAATTGTGTGGCAGCAACAGCAGCAGCAGCAGCCGTAAGATACATTTGTATCTTTGTCTGGCAGTTGGCTTGGTATCCCGTCCAGAAGTTTATGTGCGCGACTTATTAAAAGTTAGTGCGTTTGTCTTTTTTTATTATTTCTCTCTTAATTTGCCTTCTTAATCAGACTTATGACTAATTGCGCAAACTTGAAGGAAAAGCTCTGGAAAATTGTTTTGTTGGCTTGGGTAATTATGATGGGATCCCCAGCTGGGAAAAGGTTTAAGCTTTTAGTTGACATTTTCTTAGGTTTTGATTTATTTAAGAAGATGAAAAGTAATATTAATGACTGGAATTTTTCTTACTTATACTTATAAAATGAATGAATGAAATATATTTATTTGTTGATTTTTTAAAGTTTTTACTTCTGTGAATGTCAACTTTAATTACCACCAATCTCGTACTTTGCTCATGTCAGACTTAAAAATACATTTCTAGGCAATTGAATAACAATTATAGACTTGCAACCAATCAAGAATATTTCAAGGAGCTACTCAACTATGCTTTCTCACACAGGTCTGCAGGCAAAAGTATCTTTGTCGTATGACAATCAACGAGATATGCAAATTTACGGGCACGAATCATAAAAATTTACTGCATTGCCGAGCTTTAAAGTCGTTGTTGTTTCTCTTCTTTAATTTTTTTTATTGCAGCAAGGGGCTTGGCGGTGTTATGTTCATTAATTTATAAGCGTAAAATTATTTTTAAAAGTATCTTGCAGATACTGTACCGCAGTCGAGGAAAATCTGTGATTGCGACTGCCTATAAATATTTACAGGGACAGGGGGCGTGGGCGTCTGGCATTAAAACCATAAAATATTATTTCTTTTCTGTTTGTAAAACATATATTTGCAATTCTCTGTGAATTCATATCATATTTGTGCTATTATATGCAGTTTAATAACTTCATGTATCTTTTTTTTCTCGTTTACAGACAAATTGCGCCCGCCTATGCAAAGGTCAATGGCGGAACTGCCATTCCACTGCCCGCCACCGTGATGGTTCAACGGCGCTGTCCGCCGGATAAAGTGCGTCCACTGCCACCCACACCCAACCATACACCATGTGAGTACACCCATCTATGGCCTGGGAAATTTATTAAAAAATATTTTAAGCCCCTTCCCAACCAACCCTGTTGCGTTTTTTTGAGGGGAAGGTGAGGGATCTCCCCGTTGTTTACCGGGAATAAACAAATTTCGGTCTTATGGCACAGTAAACAACCCCTAAAGCTGAAAAGCAGGCACTGCACTTAGCCCTTTTTCAAATGCGTTCTCTGGGTGGGATTGTGACCGAGATCCTTCCATCGCAATCAAAGCTCTCTGGGGACCCCTTTTGGGGTTAGAATGGCCTCCCACCCCCGTCCAAAAAGTCTCTCAGAGAAAGGTGTCGTTGATTTGTGGAATATGTAACTGAATTCCTCATTTAATTAGGAGACTGGAGAGTACTTCAAAAACAAAGGAATGCCAAGCCCCAAATATACAAAAATTCTTTACCTCAAACTGAATAGCAAAGGGCACTGGCAACTTCTGGGTTTCCTCAGAACACAAATTACATAAATTCCTAAAAAGAGCTTTGCTTTCTCACTTCAGAGTAACAGAAAAACATTAAGTAAAAGTTGAGATTTGATTTAAGGATATACATTTCCCAGTTTGTCATGCATTTTTGACCCAATTTGTAAAAGAAGCCGAAACAAAACGCTTTGTTGTGCTTGATTCACGTTGTTGGGCATATTTATAGAACATTTTCACTCTCCATGATGATTTATTTACCAAATATTCGGTGGGTCTCTGGGCAGACATAAATCTCGGAGCAGAAAGACTCCTCCCAATCTGTTATCAGCCTCACGCAAGGCAATTAATTAAGTTTAACGTCCCGGCATTGCCCTTTTGCACTGATTTATAGGTTGACTCTTCCCTGTTAAGTGGGCGCCGAAATTCATAAAATCGAGTGGGTTAGCAGTTCCGTAAAGCAATCTGTAAACCTTGATGTCGTTCTCTTTTTTCAGCGATACCGGGCCTGGGAAAGAGCGGAAGTGATTTCAATTCGAGCCGTCCAAACAGTCCGCCCACCAGCAATCACACTATCCAGAGCCTCAAGAGCGGTAATAACAACAGGTAATGCAATTTTAAAATTCTTTACATTCATGTTTTTTCACTAATACTGTAATCCTCCCAGCCTGCGACCGCCGAGCGTGAAGAGTGGCCACCAGAGCGGCATTCCGTCGCCGAGTAGTCCCCAGACAGCTCCCCAGAAGCACTCCATGCTGGACAAGCTGAAGCTGTTCAACAAGGAGAAGCAACAAAATGCAGTAAACGCGGCCTCGGTGGCCAGCAAAACGCAGATACAGTCGAAGAGGACCTCATCCTCCTCGGGGTTTAGTTCTGCACGCTCAGAGAGATCCGATTCCAGCCTGAGTCTGAATGACGGTCATGGTTCCCAACTGAAGCCACCCAGTATTAGCGTGAGTTCCCAGAAGCCGCAGCCCAAGACCAAACAGTCCAAGCTTCTGGCTGCCCAGCAAAAGAAAGACCAGACGAACAAGGCAACCAAGCTGGACAAGAAGGAGAAGAGTCCGGCGAGGTCCTTGAACAAGGACGAATCTGGGAATGAGTCACGAAGCTCAACGATGGGACGAACTGGCAAGGCTTCTTTGATTCGAGGAGTGGGTGGTGTTGAGAAGAATACACCCAAGACGGCCTCAAAGTCCTCGCTGCACTCCAAGTCCGATTCGAAGAGCTCCTTGAAAGCGCCCCAATTGCTCCAGAGTCCCAGTGGCGGTGGTTTACCCAAGCCAATTGCCGCCATCAAAGGCACCAGTAAGTTACCCTCATTCGGTGGTGCTGGTGCTGGCCATCCTCCATCTGTGGAGACCCAGCAAAATCAGCATCAACCATTGCTCAAACGCGAAACCAGCGACATATCCTCGAACATATCCCAACCACCGGTGGTTGAGCCACCACCCAACAGCACACATATCCTTCAGACGCCACCACCTCCTTACTATGCGAATAGTCAGCCAACGAGTCACATATCATCGCATGGTTATATGAGCGAGCCCAGTACCCCGCAGCACAGCTCGGGTATATATGGTAGCAGTCGCCTTCCGCCACCGAAGTCCGCTCTGAGTGCTCCTCGCAAGTTGGAGTACAATGCCGGACCCCATATACTAGCTTCACCAACGCACCACCAACGGCAGGGTTTGCCTAGGCCTCTGGTAAACTCGGCCCCCAATACGCCCACCGCGTCGCCCAACAAGTTCCATACTATTCCCTCCAAGATTGTGGGCACTATCTACGAGTCCAAGGAGGAACAGCTGCCTCCACCACCAACATCCACTGGAACTTCAATACTGCCCATGAGACCACTTCTCAGGGGCTATAACTCGCACGTGACCTTGCCCACAAGAGGATCACGTGGTGGCCATCATCCACATCAGTCGTACTTGGACTTTTGCGAATCGGACATTGGCCAGGGATATTGCAGTGATGGCGATGCCTTGCGAGTGGGTAGCTCCCCGGGAGGATCTCGATTCCATGACATCGACAACGGTTACCTCTCGGAGGGCAGTAGTGGTCTAAATGGGCCAAGTTCATCCCCAGGCGGCATATCACATGGAAAACACTTTCTCAGCATGATGCGGGCACGCACCCAACTGCCTACAACTATCGAAGAACGGTGAGCTTGGCTTTTGTACTTTTTACTATAAACTTAGTTACATTTTTAGATTTGAAAACATATTGGAATATATATTGCTAAGAAAGATTTATTTACTAGTAACTATAGATTGCTCCTATGTAGAATCAATATTACTTCGTTTTCCTCCACCCACATGCAACCTCATTATAAATGAGCCTTGATTGGCTCTGTGGTTCTTTTCGGTCGTCACTTACTTTCTCGCCAGTTGCCATGACTCATCTCTGAAGTGTGCTTCTTATGGCTGTGTTGCCTCCGCTGACACCAATGAGTCAACCAGAAATTGCCGTTGTTCGAGTATCGCCAGTGCTGGTTGTTTCCAAGAAGAGATGGACCCCGCTGTTGCATATTCTTTAGCGGCTTGGTGGTGGGCAATAAAGCGGAATTTAAATGGACTTCGACTTTGCCTTCAGGCCTCAGTGAACTTTCAATGGTTTCGGGTGTCATTTCACTCAGCTGGCTCCATTTCGTAGCGCAGTTTTTTTGTTGTCACATTTTTCACTGGGCGCAACGCACAATTTAGCCACACTTTTGATGTTTGGGGGCTCAGATCATCGAGGACCTCTCATCACCATGTGAAGCAGTTAATTGCGATGGCAGCCACTTGACTACCTTAACAACTTCCTGCAGGATACACAAGAGTATCCACTTGACAACGGCCAGAACCGACCCGATCCACAGCTGAAATTTGCCAATTTGCATAAAATCCACTCGATGTCGACTGCCTGGATTTGGGTCCGCACTCGTGCTGCGGCATGTCAAATGTCATTTACAAATTGTCAATGGCAGGCAACTTGACAATCGACAATGCTAACCTGTTAACAGGAAATGCTCCTCGCACAGGTATTGACAGGCACACCAGGCAGGAAATCCCCATAGATACCCATCTATCCACCAACCCACTTGAGCCTATCGATTTCAGAAAAGGTTGAAACTTGTTTGGGAAATATGGATTTATTGGAACGTTTTTTTCATCTTATAAGATATTATCAATACGGTTGACTGGCACAGGATTGCTGGTTCTTTTTTGATTGCAACTTTATTTTAGACTTTAATTTTTGTTGTCACTTGCACTGCCTTTTTGTACTTTAGAAAGATATGTAGTTGCGTAATTGGTGTCGGCGTCAACAATAGCACTTACAATTGACTTAATAAAGGGAACCATTTGAGCTTCCACAAGTCTTCCTCCCTGAACAGGCACCCCATTAAATGTTTGGGCCTTTTGTGCCCAAAACCTTCTTACAACATCATTGGCATACGCACGTTCTTCAAGTGACACTGGTAAGCGATTGCTGTATTTCTCATAGAAGTCAATCAATACTGGTAAATACCGATTTTTGGTCTTAGTATCCACGGAAGGGTTTTGATAGAAATCAAGAATATCACGGGCTCTTTCCGTGAACTCGGGATCCCTCTGTGCATGTCCTGCACTAACAAGGCAGCTAAGGACAACCAGAAGGCAGCTGAAAATATTCACGGTTATTCTACTAGGGTTTTTTTTACTTATTTTGGGAAATATCTTACCTTAGTAATGTTGCAGATTTCATATTTTCTTCTGATGTTGCACTGAGAACGATTCGATTGATTCTTAAGGGGGTTTAATCGAGACCTCTGTATTTATAGCAATATTTTCAGCATGCTGGAGCCAATGCCTTATCATCCAGGCGTCTTCGCAGTAACTCGCAGTTTTATCAAAACTTCTTTGAATGTTTCTTATATTTTTATTTTCTCAAGCTTATTGCCTTCCTACTATATATAGAATATCAGAAAAAGGATCTACTAGTGTAACTATGTTTGCTAAATGTTTGGAAAAGTAATAAAGTCGCAAATGCATTGCAGAACTTAACTCTTTTTTTATGCGTAACCTGCGACGATTTGATTAGAACTCAGGAACAGAACTCTCAACACCTCTGTATTTATAGGTGGAAAATAGGCGCGACTTATGAAAGTCTTATCTAAGGTAAACGGTGAGATAAACCTGCAAAGATGATTAGCCGTTTTTCTGTTTTATTAGCTCCAATCTCAACTTAATTCCGAAGAACTCTGTGCTTGCTATTTATTGCTTGGCAAATAAAAAACAGTTTTCCCTGGCACGTTTTAACCTGTTCTTCGGCTTTTCTTTAAAACATTTATATAATACATAACTCGTATATGATTTTAAAGAAAAGTCAAGGAAAAACTTTACGCTTTTTTAAGATACATGAAGGGTTTTTGCTAAGATTTTTTATTTTGCAATCATTTTTACTTAAACAGCTTCCTGCTTAATTTAAATATCTCTATTTAAATTGGGCAAGTAGTCATGGTTTCTTAACCAGCAATGGCCTTGCCGATGGCTACCACAATTTCAGCAGCAATGGGAGCCAAAAAGGGCAACCAGAATCCTCCTTGGGCCGAAACACCATCGACCTTCGTGGATGATCGAGCCCTATAGTTCCTTACAAAATTATCGGCCTTTTGTCGGTCCTGAGCAGTCAGTTGAAGCCGATTGGAGTATTTCTCATAAAAATCAACAAATGCTGGTAGATTTTGGGCCTGAGTGCGTTGATCGACTGAGGGATTGCCAAATACTGCCATAATCTGACGGCCCTTAGCCGCGAACTGTGCATCACTCTGGGAATATCCTGTTCCCAGGAGGCATCCAAGAACGACCAGAAGGAAGCTAGATATATTTCAAAATTCATCTACTTATCTTTGACTAACTTTTTGGTCATGGGCTAACGTACCTTAATTGCAATGCGGAACTCATCTTCAACTCTGATGTTTCTCAACGAACTGTTCGATTGAATCTTATGAATTGCACATCGAACTCCTCGGTATTTATAGCAAATTTGTAGCATGCTGAACCCTGGGTTATCAATTTCTGATTCTGGGAACAATTATTTATTCATTGTAAATTATTGCGTTATCTGAACATTTTATTTCTTGAAACTCGCTTTGTGTGAGAAATGAAAACATAATTATTAAAAAACTCAAGATAAGAATGCACTGTTTTAGGAATTACCTTCTATATTCCGATGTTCTATGTGTCCAGTCATTATTATCATTAATAATAATTATCAGTTCGTTCTAGAGATATTTCATATTTGAAATCTTGCCATGGAAATGCAAATTAATGCAAAGGCCTTTCTAATGGCTATCTTCAGCAGCAAAGGGAGCCCAAAGGGGTAACCAGAATCCTCCTTGGGCCGAAACACCATGGACTTTCTGGGATGACTGAGACCTATACTTTCTCGAAAAAACATTCTTCTTTTCTTCGTATCTGCTTTGGAAGGTCAAGCAGAAAGCTACCAAATGGGTCCAATTTTCGGGCCCTAGTGGATGTATCGACTGGAGGATCGTCGAAAACTGCAACGATTTCACGACCCTTCTACGAATTCATTCATCACTTTGGGTGTGTCCTGTTTCCAGGATTAACCAGCCCAGGAGTCGCAGCTTACCTTAATTGCATTGCGAAATGCATCTTAAATATTGATGTTTCTCTCCGAACTGTTCGATTAAATCTTATAATTGGTGCACTTCCGTATTTATAGCTGTTTTAAGTCTGAAAATTCGCTGAGTTATCATTTTGGTGCTTACAGGAATTTGTCTGTGTTATCAATGTTGCCGTAAATAAAAACAAATTGGGTTTGTAAAGCAATCAAAGATAAGAAAGGAAAATTCAATGAACTGAAAATATAATATAAACTGTAATATAATTTCTAAATCCATTGTGTCATATTTTTTATTATTAGAAAAACATAAATATGAATTTTCCAAGTTCTTTTCACAAGTTCCAAGTTCCAAGTTCCTTTACATTCTTAAACTTACAAACCAAACATTAATACCCTCAATATCAACAAAAGCAGGAGCTTACTGTCTTCTTATTAATATAAAGTTTTCAGAGATTCACAGCAAGTCAAGTTCAAGATATTTATTTATTTGAGCTACTGGTTTTGAAGATCTGAGTGTTAACATAATCTATAAAACCACCCACTTGAAGTATCTCCATTTAAATTTGTAAAGTAATTCTGAAATGGTTGTTAAGAAGCAATTGCATGGCGGATCTTTATCACAACCTGAGCAACAAGTGGTACGAAAGAGGACTCCCAGAGGCCTCCCTGGGCGGAAACACCATAAAATTTCTGATATGATTGAGACCTATACTTTCTCACAAAATCATCGGCATTTTCTTTTTCCTGATTTGTCAGTGCAAGCCGATCAGAGTATTTCTCATAAAAATTAACAAACTCGGGCAGACTTTGGACCCAAGTAGAAGTATCGAGTGATGGGTTGTCATATACGGCAACTATCTTACGACCCCTAGTCGTGAATTCATCATCACTTTGGGAATGTCCTGTTCCCAGCAGACATCCAAGGACGGCCAGAAGGCAGCTAAAAATATTCAATTTTACTTTTGGGCATCTTCCATACTTCTTGGCCATAGCTTACCTTAATTGCAAAGCGGAATTCATTCTAAATGTTGATGTTTTGCTCTGCGAACTGTTCGATTGAAGTTGTAATTGGTGCAGCGAACTCTTCAGTATTTAAAGCTGTTTTCAGTGTGTAAATCAGCTGCATTATCATATAGGGGCTATCAGGCATATGTAAATTATAAGAAAGTCGTTATCAATATCTCTGTAGAATATAAAATAAATATTGTGTTGCTAACCTAGCCAAAAATTGGAAGAAATATGCAATTATACTGTATTCTTCGAAATAATGATTACACCGCCAATACCCACAAGATCAGCTGTTTAAGAATAAAACAAAATTCTATACAAATTCTGTTCAAAACCAAAAAGAACTTGTCAAAATCGAGCCTTGGCCCACACATCAACGCATTTAATTAAAAAGCGCTTATGGACTGTGGATGGGGATTTGAGTGAAAATGGGACTAGCTGAGGCTAGCGTGCGGTTCTGTCATCGCGTTTGATCTGTGAAATTAATGCAATGCCATGGAGCCGGAACACACTGAGCCCTTGTAAATGAGAACAGCTGTCGCGGAGTTCAAAGAACCGCCCTTTCCACAAATATAAAGAAAGTGACCCTGGACCCTCGACTTTTGAGCCTCAGTCACGTATTTGCAGTTGGAAAATATTTTGTAATTGAATTTTAATGCACATCGTTGGCTGGTGGCAACCTGTCGCATTAGTGTCAGTGGCGTTGCCACAGGACACTCAGAGAGTCCTTTAAGCGGGGGGCAGGAGCTAATCAGTTGCGGCCCAGACACCTGCAGGACATAATTTTACGAAGCCCAACAAGTGAGCCGGTCTTATGACGCCTCAACATGCGTTGTCTAGCCATGAAAGTAAATCAAAATGCAGCAGGGCGCAAAAATATTTCAACATGGATAAAGCCAACGGGCAAAGGGTAAAGTGTGTGGCCAAGGAAGCAGACAGTTAGGTGCATGCCAGACAGGATGTTCGAAGAGGGGATGGGAAGTTGGCCAAATGGACGCACATATGGCGATAGCCTTGCTATCCTCTGACTCGGACGCCAGCAGTCTCGCTTTGGACTTCAGAAATCCCAGCTACCTCCATTTTATTTAATAAAGCAATTTTCCATTTACTTGATTTATGGCGAAAGCGTGCCATTATTACCAGACTTGTTGTTCAATTCTTTAGAAGAAACTCTTTCAACATCCATTTAAGAGTTCGAAGCTTAATTTTATAGTTTAGCTTCCCTCATCTCTACAGTTTTTAAGCACCGCTTAAAGCCACTTTACTAATTTTGCTAATTTCCAATAACCGCAGCGTGGCGCACAAATTGAAAATAAATTTCGCACTCATCCCGAAAATCCACCTCACCACATAATAATGGATGGAAATTGTTTTTATTAATTCAATCCGAAATTCAGTGAACCAAGGCCCGAGGACTAAAAATGTTTCCTGACTGGGCATTTCCACCTGTCTGCTATCCACTCGAGTGTTCAATGGCAAACTGACCCTCTCGGCTGGCCCGTTTTGATACGCTTTATTTAGGCCTCCATTTTTTCTGCCACTTTTTTCCTGTTTTCTGTTGAGTTGGGTTAAATGAACCGAACATTTTCGGGGCATTCCATTTGTTTGAACGTCCTTTCACATTACTACTCATGTGAGGCATTAGAAACATATTTTATTAACTGAAGATAAGGATAGGGAAAAGCTTTTTAGTTTTGCAAAAATAAATACACTCATATTTGATTTACAATCATTTTCAGTATAGAAAAGCACATAAAACTTTGTGATATTTAAGGATCCGCGTGTTTTTTTTTTTTTTAAGAAGCAATGGCCTTTTGTGAAAGTTGTACTTGAATCAAGGTATCGAAATGATTTCAACTTTTTTTGCTTTATTGGAAATATTATTTGAACAGCTTCCCGCATAAATTAAATATTTCTATATGAAGGGGTTTACAAAGTCAGGAAGTGCTTGAGGCGCAATGACCTTGGTGATTACCTTTACCACTTGACCAACAATGGGAGCCAAAATTTCCAACCAGGGAAATCCTCCTTGGGCCGAAACACCATCGACCTTCGGGGATGATCGAGCCCTATAGCTCCTCACAAAATTATCGGCCTTTTGTCGTTCCTGAGTTGTCAGTGGAAGCCGATTGGAGTATTTCTCATAGAAATCTACAAATGCAGGCACATATCGGGCCTGAGTGTTTCTATCGACTGAGGGATTGCCAAAAACTGCCATCATCTGACGAGCCTTAGCCGCGAACTCTGCATCACTCTGGGAATATCCTGTTCCCAGGAGACAGCCAAGAACGACCAGAAGGCAGCTAAAAAGATTTAACATTTCATCGATTGAGCTTTGATATACTTTTTGGAAATGGCTTACCTTAATTTCAATGCGGAACTCATCTTTAACTCTGATGTTTCTCAACGAACTGTTTGATTGAATCTCATAAATTATTGATGGAACTCTTCTGTATTTATAGGAGACTTGTTATCGTGCAGAGCCTTATGTTATCATATTGTGATTCTGGTGAATACTGAATACATAAATTCAATGGAAATCATTATATTATCTTAATGTTGTATTAAAGATAACGGATGCAATTTCAAAAGAAATTCCTTCTTTATCCAATCTTATATTCCCGGAATTATACATTTTTTGCAGTCCGACATGTGACATATAACCAGGACAACCTTAGTCTGGTTTTAGATTGCCTATAAATTAAAGTTTAAATGGGGGTCATGAAGATCAATTATCGGTTGAGTCTTCATAGAGAGTCTGAGGTATATAATTACACTAGTTAATGTAAAATTCGAATCCTTATTATCCGCAGTACCTCAGTGTTTAAAGTCCCATTTTCAATGGGGTTGCTAAACTCATACCCTTAGATTCAATCTCAATGTCAAAATAACAGGTCTGTGAAGATTTTTGCTGTGTTCTTGATTTATTGGCCACTTTGAAAAGCTTTTTGCTAAATTATTTGGTTTTGATTTTAAATTTTACAATTGGTGTTCGAGTTAACAAGCTTTAATATACAATAATATGTCGGGCGATGGCCCTATCAACGGCTTTTACAGCCTCATCAACAATGATGGCCCAAACGGGCAAACACCATCGACTTTTTGGGATAATTTTCCCCTATGGGATCTCGTCCCTCCTTTTGAAGATTAACTAGTTGGGAGAATCTATCATATAAACCTACGAATGGAGGCACATTTCGGGCCCTGGTGGCTGTATCGACTGATTGGCTGCCAAACACTGCAATGATTACACGACCCTTAACCTTAACCCTTCCTTAAAAATACTATAGAACGCTTACTCGTATATGATTTCTTACGATTTTCTTGTATGTACAAGTCAAAGAACAAACTTGAGTTTTTAAATGTTCCATGAATTTATTTGTGTTTTATTAACCCAATCTAAATTTTGATGGTGGATTGGTAGTCGTTGTTTTGGAATCAATAGCCTTGCCGATGGCTTCCAGGACTTTAGCAGCACCGGTAATAAAAAGTCTTCCAGGGAAATCCTCCTTGGGCCGAAACACCATCGATCTTCTGGGATGATTGAGCCCTATAGCTCCTCACAAAATTATCGGCCTTTTGTCGTTCCTGAGCAGTCAGTTGAAGCCGATTGGAGTATTTCTCATAGAAATCTACAAATGCAGGCACATATCGGGACTTGGTATTTGTATCGATTGAGGGATTGCCAAATACTGCCATCATCTGACGAGCCTTAGCCTGGAACTCAGCATCACTCTGGGAATATCCTGTTCCCAGGAGGCATCCAAGAACGACCAGAAGGCAGCTAAAAATATTTAATATTATATATATTATGATCTTCGATTAACTTTGTGGTCGCATCTTACCCTATTTGCAGTGCGGAATTCATCTCTATTCCTGATGTCTCTCAACGAACAGTTTGATTGAAACTTATGATTTTTGCATCGAACTCCTCTGTATTTATAGCAAACTCTTGACCCCTTCTTATCATCTTCCGATTCTGGGGAATACTTGCATTCATCGGAACTCATTGTGCTATCTGAATATTTTATTTATGGCTTCTCATAAGGTATAGAAACGCAGTTATTTAGAAATCTAAAGATAAGGTCTTATTGCCTTCTATGCCTATCTTTTAAATGTGCAGTCTGACATATGGCTCTTAATAATTGGATCAAGTTTGATCTTAGTTGGAAATCCCAATAAATTAAAGGTCATATGGGGACCACAAAGATTAATTATCAGTTAGGTATAGAGATGATGGGCATTCGGTTACACGACAAAGCTAAGTTCTATAAGATTTCTTATTTAGCCATTAAAGTCTTATTTATTAAAAGTAGCTCCTCAGTATTTACAAAAGAACTATCCGAGCTATTACAGAATCCCTCTCTAACCTATTACCTATAACCTACAATGCCAATGTAATTGAAAACACATCTGTGAAGATAATTGGTCTTTTCATGTTTTATTGGCAATATTGATTGAACTGCTTTCTGATTATTTGAAATATCTTCATTTGAATTTTTCAAGTAGATAAGAAATGGTTATTAAGAGGCAATCGCTTTGCCGGTGGCTATTACAACCTCAGCAGCAATGGGAGCCAAAAAGGGCAACCAGTGTCCTCCTTGGTCCGAAATACCATCGACTTTGTGAGATGATTGACTCCTATGACATGTAGGCAGAGATCCCACCAAGCCTACCAACCATGTGATTTAAAATTTCCCAGTTAAATCCTCCCTGTGCCGAAACACCATCGACCTTCTGGGTTGATTGATCCCTATAAGTCCTCAGAAAATCATCGGCATTTTGTCGTTCCTGAGCTGTCAGTTCGAAGCGATTGGAGTATTTCTCATAGAAATCCAAAAATGCAGGCACACTTCGAGCCCTGGTTGATTGGTCCACTGAAGGGTTGCCAAGCACAGCGACGAATTCGCGACCCTTAGCCGCGAATTCAGCATCACTTTGGGAGTGTCCTGTGCGTAGTAGGCATGCCAGGACAACCAAAAGGCAGCTAAAAATAGTTTTTACTAAGTTACTGCGCTTTGATTAAGTTCTTTGGAATAGCTCACCTTAATTGCAAAGCGGAGCTCATCTTGAATGTTAATGTTTCTTTATAAACTCTTAGATTGAATCTGATGATTGATGCACTTAGCCCTTCCGTATTTATAGCTGTTTTAAGTGGGAAAATCTGCTACCTTATCATTTTGGGGCTTTTGTTAATTCAAAGGAAATCGCTATTTAACGTTAGAAAAATAAAAATTGGGTTTGCAATGTAATTAAAGATAAGAACTGAATGTAATCTATATTCGCGGAAATATAGATTAGTGCATTCAGGCATATGCTTCTTATATAGTAGGAAAATTATTATTAACAAGAGGAAACGCTATAGTCGAGTGTCGCGACTATAAGATACCCGTTACTGTTTTACACAATTTTAAAATATTAATTTTGCTAGTGGAAATTCACAAGGCGCCACCTATTGTCAGAGGAAGTATGTTGAGTATGCTTATAGTGACGTCACTGCCCATGTGGAGCCTTATAACCTTAATTTCTTCATAAATAGCGAAATAATGTTCCGATTTGAAAAATCTCTTGTAAATCGATAGATATTAACAGAAATAAGTTACACAAGGTCAAACGAAGGAATTCATAATAATATTATAGACTCCACAGTTTTCCGCGAGTTGTGGGCGTTAGAGTGGGCGTGGCCGGATGCAACTTTGTGGCAAGTTGCAGAGGCATCTCCTAAATACGTGTTTCTAAGCAAAATTGTGTAGCTTTTATAGTTTTCGAAATTTTTGCATTTTCGGTTTTCGGGTTTTGTGGGCGTTAGAGTGGGCGTGGCGTGATCGGAAAAAACAATTCGCATTGGGAGCATCATAGAAACATACATGCTTGATCCGAACTTTCTATCTCTTATAGTTACCGAGATATCAGCTTTTCTAGAAAATCCGAAAACCGTCTTTTGAGCCTTGTGGGCGTATGGGTGGGTGTGGCTGCATAGTAGAACCACTATAAGATGCGCTAGCATCTAAAAGATTATACTTTTTGAATTTCAACTTTCTAGCTCCAATAGTTCCTGAGATGTCAGCAGTTTTTAGTTTTTTGCGATTTTTGGGCGTTATAGTGGGCGTGGCAGGATGCTGTAATAAACTTGCGCTGTCCCGGGACCTCAAGAATCTTCATGCTTAATCTCAGCTTTGTATCTGCTATAGTTCCTAAGATCTCAGCGTTCATACGGACGGACGGACGGACGGACGGACGGACCGGACGGACGGACGGACGGACGGACGGACGGACAGACGGACATGGCTCAATCGACTTCGCTATTGATTCTGATCAAGAATATATATACTTTATAGGGTCGCAAAAGCTTCCTTCTATCTGTTACATACTTTTCAACGAATCTAGTATACCCTTTTACTCTACGAGTAACGGGTATAAAAATGAAAAGGGGTAAACAAAAAAAATTGTTCGAAAACATCTCCACAGTGATTGGGTTTGGTTCCAAGGGACCTTTTCTTCTTTTTAAAACTAAAGAGTCCTTTAAATTTACGAAGATTTGCAACTATTGGAATGATAAAGACTGCATCGTATTTTAAAACTATTTCAATGCCAAGAAAAACGTATAAAGTTTCAATAATTATCTCTGAATTTTCGCTTCTAAATATTTTAATGCATTGCTTGAGTCTCGGCCAAACGGCTATAGCCCTTACAATTATTATCGTTTAAAAAATGTAATTTTTTATTTGTTTTTATTAAAATGCCTAAGTTTTTTTCTCTATATTTATTTATAGTTTAATGGAATATTACCCATACCCATATGTTATTGTTTATTACATTTTTACCTGTTTTTACAAATGTATGTTCGTATATACACTATTTTGACATTTGAATTTGTATGAATTTTTACATTTGACATGGTCGTGGGACTGAATACATCTAATACTCAAACCCATGATTTTAGACCATCTTATCCATGTTCAATAAGATTCTGTTCATAAAGAACTGCTTTCTTTGATAATGCAATACCGCATTGCTTCTGAACTGCTTAAGCGGCAAATTTAAATACAAAAAATCTATTCAACAGAAACATAGGATATTGTGAATTTTGGTAATTGGAAATGGAAATGTAATTTTGTAGGTACACAAATAAAATGCCTCTGCTTAGTATTAACATTAACTTCTATTCTTCAATGTAAGTTCAATTTTCTTGCTGCCTTCTTGCATTATGCAAAACTTAATAACACAAATTGTCTAGCTCGGCAAATAAATTGCAACAGTTGTTGTCAGGCCTTAGCAGATCAAAAACCAGTTGCAATTTTCGATATGCCAGAAAACGAAAACGAGATAAAACTGCAGTCGCTGTGGCACCAAAGTCAACTATTTTTCCTTTCAGCCTCACCCACGGCATGTGCTAAACAATTAAAACCAACTCAAAGCGTGTGGCAAAGCAATCGTAAGCCTTTAAGCCATAACTGACCTTTCCACATGCCGCAAACAAACTCGCTCATATAAACTTGTGTGCTTTTCTATCTGCTGTGGCTTGGACATGGCTAACAGCGGCTGAGACTTGGATTTTGGCTTAATCGTTTTCCAATAACTTTGCCATAGCTGGCAGCTATTTTTCTCGGTTATCATTAAAGCCAACATCGTGAATTTGTGATTAGTTTCTGGGAAAAAGCTGGTTAGCAATTATTTTTGTTAACTAAACAAAGTTGTTACATAATATTTCCAAAAAAATGTAAAGGATTTTTTCATCATTTGTGTACTTGACAAGTCTTTTCAATATTTCGCAGACTTTGATCTTTCTCCCTTTCCGCTCATCATAATAAATATTTTCCCAGAGCTTATCAATGATTTACCGACTGATTGGAAAACCCCAACCCAGCCACAGTTTTCACAAACGTTTCCACAAGATTTATGAGCTCCCAACAAAATAATGAAAAGCAATAAAAGTTCTATGAGTGCATATGGTGCTTGGTGCTTGGATATCGCTGTCAATTAACGAATTTCCATCGACGTCCACAAGATTTCAGCAACTTGCCAGCCAATCAAGTTTCGCTTTTCATTCACCAAGCACTTGTAAATATTTTTCCGTTTTTTTCCTTTTCGTATATTGCAATAGCATAACCAGCCCGCCCTTGGCTCAATTATTTTTGGAGTTTAAACCGGGCTGACGAACGCCCAAACAGTGCGAAACAAGTTTCAGTTTTTTTGGCCACAGAATTAAGAGAAACTCCGAATTTAGTTTCGAACTTCATTTTTTCTCTTAGACTTGAACGCACAGCTGTATCTCGTCCTCTCTCTCCCTCTCTCTGCTGAAAGACATTTGTTGCTTTGGCAGACAGTTTGGCCTACAGTGGGTGGGAGACTTTGAGTGAGAGAACTACCCCCATGACCCACCCACTTGGTAGTTGGAAATTCCCTTACTCTCCTCTTAGCCATGATTCATATCATATGGCAGGACTCAGAAACGCTGGACTAAGCCGAAAGAGAAGAAAATCTACTACGAGGAAGAGGAAAATATAAGTCCACTTTTTATATGCACGTAGAAGGAAACTATAAACCCGAATAACTGTCGTCCAAGGAGAAAGGAATATGACAGTTTTATTAGTGTTTTATATCCTTCTGACTTTTGTTTAGTATTTTCTTAAATGGAAAACTTTGTATTTTGTTTTGGATTAAAACTAAAATATTTACCATAAAGAAAGTTCACTTTAAAGGCAATACTTCTGAAGAATAATCTTTATTGTTATTAATGTAGTGCATAAACTCAGCATTTTCGTTATATTTAAGGATTTTCTCTAGAAAGCTCAATAAATTTCAATTGCAAAATGACAGCTCGAGAATCATGCTGCAAACTTTATCCAAACTTCCATTTCGCAAACTTTTCTACCCACAGCCACATCCGACTTCCCCCTTTCCTCAGCTGGTTTTTCCTTCTTTTTTTTTGGTAAATTATCATGCCTGGGGGCTGCTTAACTATTAAACAAGTGCGTGGCCAAGAGAGCATAAAATAAAATACGCCCAAAGCGCGCAAAGTTGCAAACAGACAGGTAGAGTCGTACATAAATAGTAGAGTACGTATTCAGGTGGGCAGGTGTCTTGGATTCGACTGGCGTTGCATGTCACAAAACCTTTTACTTTCAACACAAAACGCCGACAGGCAGGAAGCTACAGTTCTCTTAACCTCAATGGCTCTCTTTTGGTTTCTCTTAACGTGGGTATTTCGAATTTTTCCTGCTTTTCGAACTTTGGGTTTTCCGTGGCAGAACTGAAGAGCAACCCCAGAAACGCATTTGAACGCTCGGGCTTTGCGGTTGCCACATGAAAATGCTGCGGCAGAAGCGGTAGAAACAAGCGAGTTTATTTAAATATTACAATTTAAAAAACATAAAAAATTATTAATAAAAAGATAATGTTTTTGGTGTGACTTGTGCTGTTATAAAAAAGGATTTACTCTATCCTGAATGCATACCAATTAATTAAGCTAAATCCTTCGAAACTTATCAAATAATAATCCTTTGAGCGGAATAAAAATTCCGAGAAAATATTAATAACCGAGAAAATGTTAATAGCAAAGTGAAAAGTCAAGTGCGGTTTATTTTCGAGTGCTGGGAAAACAAAACGAATTCCTATGAGCTGCGAGTGCTTGCATACTTTTCGGCGTGCGGATAACAATGTTTATGAAGTGAAAACTTTTCCAATATTTGCCGACATCAGATAAAGGTAAATTTCGTTTAATTAACATGTCCCAATCTCGATCCAACCTTTGGCAGCAAAATGGACGAGCACTGGGGTGTCAATGACTGCCCCGGGGCATTAAACCCTCGGACCGACTTTGACTCCTATATCCGAACTCCTTCCTTTGTTTACTTAGTCCTCGCTGGTATGTGCGAGTGTGTGTTTGTTCTGGTGTTTGTCCTTCTGTTTGGCCAAGTCGTATGCAAAGAGGGTCATAAAAACGGGGGAGCCCCCGGCAAAGGTAAACAAACACGAAACCCAGAGCTGGCTCACATTTTCCCACATGTCACCCTAATCAATTTACTCGCTCTGTCTATCAACTGTCTATCAATTCCAACAATTACT